GTATATCAAAATTTCTGTCCTATTATTAACCATAATGATTATATGTTTCGTTCAAATATTTATCAGTTTTAACGCCCACAAGTCTTGATACTTTTAGACCGACGATTGGGTTCATAACAATTAGTACTAGAGCAAGCTCCATATCATGAGTTCGAGTCACTGAAGGGATAACTTATAGGCTAAATTAAAATGTCATAGTGTTATGTGTGGACATAGTGTTATAACGTTGAATACTAGTAGGTAAGTGGAGCCGTCAAAGGGAAAAGGCTATTATTGAGGCAATGTCGATAAAATGGGCCCCTATAGATGTCAATTCTGAGCGTGATGGAATGTTATGTTCAAATAAGTATGAGCTCTAACCCTCCACAAGTTCTGAGACTGTTGGATTAGCGATTGGATTCATAACATTAAACCTGTAAAATAATCCAAAAATGATGAAAAGAGTGATCTAGAGGAAAGGAATATAATCCAGAAATCAAAGAGTGGCCCTCAACCTATATGGCCAAAATTATTGTAGCAGGTACAGACGAACCAATTTGAAAATGGAATGTAACCCCTCATTACATTCCATGTGTATGATTGTATATTCTAAGATTGGTACCCAACCCCTGCAAAAATTTGGATTATCCCAGATTTGTGAATCACGCTTGATGGTAATCTCTTGGTGGGACCCTTAAGATTTATACATACGTATGAGATTTCGTTGTTTTCTATCAATTTTTTTTTAATATCTCAACTGTTTCAGTGGATCACAGTATTATATTATCTTGCTTACTCACTGGACTAATGCTGAATGTTGTGTAAAACCGCCTCTATGCACAAGAGAGAAAATTTATGACGATAATCTCAAAGGACCAAACATCTCAGACGGATATTTGAAACCCTAACTTACATATGTGAAAACACTTATTAAATGGTCAAGCTACCACAAAGATTACTGATAGGTAAAGAACCACCTACACTTACATATAGGGACAAAGCTAAAACTAGGAGTTTGATTTCTCTACATTGATGTCTTTTTTAAAGAAAATTTGTGACAAATGATAGTGCAGTTAGAACAACCACGATAGCAGCCTCAGGTTTAATCAATCGAGATTATCGAGTTTGAATATACTTAAATTTTGCTCAGTTATAACTAATTAAACTAGAAGAGTCGAGCTTAGATTCGTAATCAAATTTAATTCGATAAAAACTTGGGAGCATTTGAACTAAACCCAAGTCGGGATTGAGCGGAATTATCGGGCACAAATGCTCAACAAAATTGTACTATATAACCTTATAATCAATCATAAAATAGTAAATTTACAACAAAAATTCCTCATAATTTTTATAACCATCGGAAGTATTAAACCTTATTTTTGGCTCATTCATCTCTTCAATGGGATGATTAGACAGTAAAATTATAATTATTTATAGATAAAAAAAACTTATTCATGACAAGCCACATGCTGATTAAATTTAGTTGGGATAAAAATCCAACTTAAAAATCTAATTTAATCAAATAATTTTACAAATTGAACTTGCCTGAATGAGCTAAAGTAGCATGAATTTCCGACTCGCAGAAGACATATGGAGACAATAATCAAATCTTGTAATGTTCAAGATCTAAGTTCGATGTTTCTACTCTCATATCCATTTTCTTAAAAATAAATTAAATAGATAAACGATTGAAAAAAAAATGATATCAGGGCCAATGGCAAGTGGACACATCTCTTCGAAATCATAATTTTAGTGGGTCCAACATGAACGATCTTATTCATGATTTAGCATTGGATACAATGATTTGTCAGTGGGATTGGCTCATTATTGAATTTCAATGTCATGATCATCATCTTGGATTTGCATAATCCAATCCTTTTTGCTTTTACAAACTTTGTTAAACAAAGAAGTGGTCATCACTCACCAGCTATGTCTCCTATGATGTAATTTCGGGAAGGAAACAACGAAATTTGAACTCCTTACTGGGCCATATCAAATTTTTGTGTCAAGAAAATTCAATTCAAATGGGCAACCAAGCATGGATTGAATGTACTCCTTACTGATAGTGATGGATTAGGTCAACAATTCAACCTTAGGGGTGATTTAAAGAATAGATCTGATTTTTAGTAATTCAAAATTCTCAAATTCAATTTTTTCTCACACTACTTAAGTGTTAGTCACATTTGTTCATTTAGGGACATATTCTTGTTGTTTGGTGTGGTATTTCAAATATTGTTAAATCACATATTAAAATTTATGATATTATGTAACTTAAAATAAAACAAAACAGTAACAGTGAAGTGCAGTACAGTTACACAGAAATAGTCTAACACAAAAGAGTTACAGCAGTCTAACGAAATAGTAACAGTAAACACTTACACGTAACTGTTTGTCAAACTAATAAAAATACTAACCCGATTGTGGAACAAGAACTGTTATTGAAGTTGATGTAAATCAAGACTAATGTTTGACATTATTTCTTTAAGACAGATTTCACCCCCACACACAATACTTATAGAATATTGAGCATTTACCTCCCAGGATACAATGATTTTTACACGAGTAGAAGTAACACTCAAATCTACTTGTCTAGCGCACCAGAACTTGTGTAGTGTACTCTCTAAATGCAGACTCCTTTAATGTTGAAATGCTATGCACTAATGTCTGGCTTAACTCTGTATATGGACTGATGAATTGGATAAAATAAATGCATGCATGACTTGGATATTTATAGACAGTTTGGTGACTTTTTGAATAGTCACCATACTAACAGACACAACCCAAGAAGACAAATGTCAACCAGTAGATAACACTTGTAAGTGTTCTCTATAAACAGTCACAACTCAATTTCAAACTAGAGGGAAGCAAAAATCTGAACTAGTGTCATCCAACGGGTAACGAAAATTAAATTTCGGTTTAAAAATTTTTACCCAATTAATTAAATTTTCTCCAAAAAAATAAGGTCACACCCACACCCGAGCTCGGCACAATTAGGCGGCGCGCGTATGTGGTTGAACCGAAGGTATGTAGGCGTTCGCTCTACTCATAAACTGTGGTACCCCTTGGAGTTTATTCTCATAGAGTAAATTTGACCTATATATATCCATGTTGAATTTCTTCTTCAACCAATGTGAGATTGGTATCAAATTTCACATTCCACAACTTTTATTTTCACATCTCATGAGGGTCACTTTGAAGCCCATTTTTTCTTTCATTTATTACTCGATTTGAGTAAGTGAATATACTACATTATACTCCTCATATAGTAGAATATGAACCCACAAAAGCTTATTTGAAACAACAAACGGTTTCCATTTTAATTTAGACTCAAAGTCGACCAAAAATTCAATTTTTACACTTAAAAAACTGTTTTGGTGCAACAGTTCTAACCCGACTCAAGTTACGGTGGTTAATCATTGAGCTTGAGAGAGTAATCGACACAAACTTAGACAAGTGTAACCAAAAAAAAAATTTCGAAGAACAATTCATAACACGTGAAAAGGAAACCGACTTTCGAGAAAAAAAAAAAAAGGGGAAAACGACTTGGGAAGAAAAAAAACAAAGTAAAAAAAGGAAAAGAACTAACGTAGATGTTAAGGCACTAATTTATTATTACAAGAAATACATGGAGCAGGCATTACTTTGTTGACCTAAGCACTCTGATTTTTTATTTTGAATGCAATTTTTTTTTTTGTAATAATTGTCATATTTCTTCTCTCATCTTAGTATTTTCAAACTAACAATCAATGAATTAAGCCAACAAGGGAGTTATCCGGTTTTGCTTGCATTAAATTCCCAATGAGTAACTCAAGCAGTAATAGAGACAAGTTATAAAAAATAAATTTAGACGTCATGAGTTTGAATCTTGACAACATCTTAAAATTAGACCATAATGAGAGATTTATCTCTCATGAATACCCTAATCTAGCCCTTGGACCATTGTCGTGACCTAGGTCTTGTATTTTTCATATGGTTGATATATATCTTAATACACACATATATACATGTGTATAAGAAACATCTATTGGTACATAAATTCTAACATTTTTATCAGAATAAAAAAACTACATTTATACTTATTTTTAGATTTTTTTTTCTTTAAATAAGAAAAGTATATAGGACATAAAAATAAACATATAAGAAATTGTTTAAGGCCAGAGCTCCAGACTAGAACGAATAGTTGTGGGCCAAATTTTCGGTGTAAACCCAGCTTCAATAAATGACATGCGGCCCTTATTTTTCAGGTTGGGTCAGCCGGTCAGGTGGGCCCAAGGCCCATATTCCCAACCCTGTATTTTAGAATTAATTGGAACTTAGACCTTGCCAGGGAGGCCCCTATTCCTGCATTCTGATCCAAAGAGCACTCTTGCCAGGGAGGCCCCACTAACTTTTAATATTATAATATAAATAATTATTCATATTTTGAAATACATTCATTTAAAAATTATTTTCTTGCATTTTGAAATACAAAAGTATTAATTAGATTTTTTTATTCAAGTCTTTTTAGATTTTATGTTTATATTAATTTGGTATTATTATTATAAATTTGGTATGTTAACATAAATTTAGTATTATAATTATACATTTAGACCTTGTCTCACTCTTGAATCAAACTTGTTACACAAACGATAAAATCAGATAATACTTTTATTAATATCATTTTTTATAAATTCGATGGGCACCAATTACCAACTCTCATTCTTCGTTGATGTTTAAACCATTCATGCCCTTGATGTTTGGTGTCAAGAGTAAGAATAAATATTGTGAGTACCGATGACACTACATTATTATTATCACGTGATATTTTTTAGGAAATTCAGCCAATTCTTGTATACTATGTTGTCAGGATACAATGATTTTGGTTGGTACGAAAAATTAAACATGAGCATAAAATTTCTCATATGGCATAACTTTAATACTGTAAATTTTAATTGGGGTTAGGGATGCTACACTGGTGTGTCCATTTTTCGACGCGATTATAAAAAATTTAAAAATAAAGAAAATTCAACTAGCAAAAACCACATCATTTCATTCTTTAATTGAAGTATATGCCAAAAACATAATATTCACAGCCACAAATAAACACCTTTCACCTTCACCACACTGTTTGCAACTCTCCAAACAAACAAAGAAAAACAAACACATTTTGATTCAGAGAGAATCAGCCGGCCCCTAATCTTCGATTGTACGAGAAAAAAAAGTTCGAAAAGGAAATTTTGAAAAGAAAAGAACCCAATAAAGGAGGAAAAAAGAATTTTGCGTATGACATCTCTTGTTTGAATGTCATTTTGGGCGGCGCCAAGTAAATTGTCTAGCCATGAACTATCTGCCCTCGCTGTTTAATGATCCGTCCCTCATTAACTTCAAGCTGAGATTATTATACCGCTCTCGTGAATACTGTCTTGAGGCTTTTCTCCAATCTGTACCAGCTTTCATCATTGCCGCAAACTCTTCATAACTTATTCTTCCATCCTGCAGGCATAGGATTTAAACTTAACACGAAATTCCAGATGCAGAAGAATATATGAACTATCGCATCAGGAGCAATCCACAAAATCTTATAGAATACTGGACTTGTATAATTGGAGAGGAGGACTGCTTAGACCACAGTATGAAACAAAGATAGTGATATGCACTGTTGAAAACCAATAGAAAACAGCAGCGTATTCAGTTTTGGCAACCATTCATGGCACAAAAAAAAAAACACCTTCAGATTTTCAATTGCAAATCTATCTGTTCAAACTGATGGCCAACCATGCCTAGTTTTTCCATCTCTCTTGCCAGTTTTTATAACCACCTTAAGTTCAAGTTTTTTGAATATACTTGTCAAAAGTTCAACCTGATGGCTGACTATGTGCCTAGTCTCTCCATCTATCTCTCCAGAATCTATAAACACATTAAGTTGTTAAATGTTAAAGCCATTCTTGGAATACTTTAGTCTCCAAGATACAGCTACCAGGCATAAACCCAACTTCAAATGTCAATTCGACTAACTATTATATCCTGAACCATAACTTACACAACAAAATCGAGAATAGAGAAGTAAAATATTAAAGAAATAACTGACCTTGTCCGTGTCCACATCTTGCATAATGGCATTAGTGACTGCTTCATTGTTCGTTTCAACTTCATCAGCTAAGGCATCACTTAGCTCCTCAATCTCTATATACCCACTTTGATTTCGGTCAAAAAATTCAAAGGCTTTGTGGAGGTGGTCATCATTGCCCATCTTTCTTAGGTGAACAGATATTGCTACAAACTCTCCATAGTCCAGGTGTCCATCCTTATCTACATCACCCTGTAGATAGAGACTTTGATTTACTTCCACACTAACTAAAGTGAATGGCAATTAGAAAGCGAAACTTAAAGAACCCAATCAGATTTTACTCTATGCAGACCGCTATAAATGAAGTTTAGCTAAAGAAGCGTCAATGTATTCAGTGAAGTAAAATAGTACATCAAACACAGTTGCTTTAACAGGTGATAATTTGCGGCACCATTGTGAGTTTTAAGAGAGATGTTTTTCATTGACACGCATCTGCGAGGGAAAAAAAAGTGGGAAGGCCTCTTAACTATTTATCTATTTCGTTCTTTGGAGAAAACAAGGTCTCCTACTTTATGGTTTTCTGTGATTCAATAATGGTGCCAAAGATAATGGCAGCTCATCATCAATCCTGTCTGTATTGGGGGGAAAACTCATTTGTCTGTAGATTGACCATATCTTTCGCAGAAGCAACTTTCCTGAGGAAAATGTAATCAATGCCACCATAAACACAACTTATTACACCCTGTATCTATAACAATGTGGGATGCATTTTGATGCACCATTCAAAACCACCTAAGAGATAAGAAGGTTTTTTTTTGAAAATTTATGTTACTGGTTCTAGAAATCAAACCTTATCAAAAGTTACAAGATATACTCAAGGAGAAACATTTAAGTCTCTCTAGTAAGATTGAAGCCCAAAAATAGAGGTAGTACTTACAGCATCCATAAGCATTTGAAGATCACTGTCAGGGATCTGTTGTCCAAGTTTCTGCAGCCCAGCTCTCATCTCATCAATGTTGATCTTTCCTTTGTTGTTGATATCCATCACTCTGAATCCCTCCTTTATGCCTGCCACTTCTTCCACTGATAGATGCTCAGCAACTATCTGTCTTAGAAAAAAGGTTTTAGTGACCAAATATCTTAAAAGAAATACATGAAAAGGTTTAACTGTCAATCTGCCCTGATAAAATCTCCTTCGAAAAGGGGAGTAAACAATGTTGAGGTATTCAGTTATTCTGATCAAGCTTGAGAATGTTACCTGTAGAGCTCTTTTCTTGAGCTTATTCATCACAGAAAATTGCTTCAACCTTGCTCGCACAGTTTCACCTAATGAAACATTTGGAGCCTTATTTGCATTTTGCAACCATGGGTGATCTACAATTAATGAGTAATCAGAAATCTTGGTTTAGATATCGATCTTATAAGAATTTTAAATTAGCAGTCAATAAAAATTCTTTAACATTAGAACATATATCACTACGTTCAGAACTGCAAATTACCTAGCACTTCCTGAGCTGTAAGCCGCTGCTTTGGGTCAGGGTTGAGCATCTTCCTCACAAGGTCCTTTGCATTGTCGGAAACCATAGGCCATGGGTCCCTTTTAAGATCTACAACAGAACGAATGATTGCTTGTGCAACTCCTTGTTCCGTTTCTGCATATTTAAAAAACACAATAGTTTTAAAAAGGACTTCATAAAATTGAGGACAAGTAGGAATCGTGTATCCAGATATTGATCTAAATCACAATTGATTCATAAGAAACTGTTGAAATCTAACCCACTGATCCTTTCTCTATCCACATGAAGTATAAAACCACGCAACATAAGTCAGACATCCAAAAATTTTGTTTGGGTTGGGGAAGAACAATAAAGAAAAAATAGGCATAATGTCTTCATCCAATTTTCTGTGATAAGGGCGTTTTAGTGATTGTCCCTTGAATATGAGCACATTCAGTCACATGCTTTCATTGAGAGCCAGTGTCCATACGAATCAAATCATCTACACTCAAACCCTCCTGCACCAATAAATAGTACATTTTCCTGGATAATGAAGACTGACCTGCCCAAAAAGGTGGGACACCACAAAGTAGGATGTAGAGTATTACTCCAGCACTCCAAACATCTACTTCTGGACCATAGTTTCGTTTGAGCACCTCAGGGGCCATGTAGTAGGGACTTCCTACAATCTCATTAAATCTCTCCCCTGAAGAAATTAAAAGAACTTCAGCTAGTGTGAATAAAGGATAACTAATTGATGATATACTACAAAGAAAAATCCAAATGCAATGGTTGTTCAGAGGCATCACCAGGTTTAAAGAACACTGACAACCCAAAATCAATCGCCTTCAATGGTGCTGTTTCCTTCTTGTTTTCAAACAAAAAGTTCTCAGGTTTGAGATCCCGATGCATAACTCCATGATTATGGCAAATCTGCAACACAACAATAAGCATAACTTAAGGCCCAACATAACGTCAGAGGAATTGTAAAACGAGATGGACATTAATATCTCATATCCTCAAAGCAGTCTTTACTGTGATAAAAACAATCCGAAACACAGTAGTGTAATAGACTTCCGAGATAATCCAAAACCAGAACCAATGAGACAGTTTGGCTTCATATGCTTGAATAGAAAAGAGAATTAGAGAAAACGAAGCATACACGTTTCACTGAATAATGTAGACACCGCATATAGAACTATTGACAAAGGATAAGGCCCACAATAGACCATATAATCCACTTGCCTCGACTGATGTCAAACAGGCTCTATATCAAAAACAGACACATGAAACTGACATCCCAAAAAAGTACTAAAAGAGCTAGTAACCTTGAATCTGAGAATGGTTGAAGATGTTCAAAATGCTGGAGGCAACTCTAAATCAGCAAGAAAATGATTTAGAAAAAGGAGTAAACCAAATCAACATTTGAATTAAGTTAAAACCAATTACCAAAAGTTAACAGGTAGGTACCAAATTGAACTTTTGTGCACTTGTACCGTAACTTCACGGTTCTCGTGCTAGAAGTGCTGCAAGGTTTTTCTTTTCTGATATTCAGCATATTAACAACACTAAATTCAATATTAATCGTCCACTACACATCAACTTTATTCTTTTAATCACATCAAATGAAGCACTAGCACTTTACTTAAGAGAACAAACGCAATTGTGATTGACACCCAACAAGTTAAAGTGAGAATAAAAAACAACAAAAAAAATAAAAAGATCAAAGCATGAGTATAATAACATCAATGACCAAGAAAGACAAATCTTCACCTGTATAACTTCAACAATTGTACGAGTCACAAACGCAGCCGCCCTTTCAGTGTAATGCCCTCTGGCAATAATCCGATCAAACAATTCACCACCCTCACACAACTCCATCACCAAGTGGACTCCATTGTCATCCTCATAAGTGTCCGTCAAGCTCACAATATTGGGATGTTTAGGCAAATGCTTCATGATTTCAACTTCTCTTCTCACATCCTCAATATCCACCCTAGTCCTTAGTTTCTTCTTGGATATGGATTTACAAGCAAACACTTCCCCTGAAGACTTATCAGTACACAGATAAGTAACCCCGAATTCACCGCGACCAAGCTCTCGACCCAGTTCATATCTCTGCTCAATTTCACGACCTGTTGGGTTGTCCAATACGTAAGACTTGTATCCATCATTCCCAGTATGATTTGCACCATTTTCAGCGTAAAATGGGTTTGCCTTATGGTTCCCCTCGTTCACAGAATCAGTAGTAGACGGCACTGCACAACAATTTCCCATGAATCAAAGCTTTGAAAATCAATCTCTCTCAGTATTTTGGCCAAATAGGTCTCCAAGGTTTGAGCTTAATATCGACCAATATCAACCAAAATATGAGCTTTCAGAGCAATTCGACAGAGAAACCAAGAGAGCAAAGCTTCAATTTTTTTGATCAGATCTTCAATTCTAAGGCTTTTTGGATCTTTCACCAAACTGCTACAGAATTTGAGAACAACCGAATACTGATCCGTTCCATTGAAACCAAACAGAAACAAATAAAACAAAAACGTGGGTTGTCTACAATAATTGAAGAGCTTGAAGACCCAACTCGAAATCTAAGATCTCACAGCTCAATTGATGTGAATTTTTCAGGTAAAAGGATAGAGAAACCTCTACAAGCTATGAAGTATCCCAAGAAAATTTGATTTTCCGAGAAAATGAGAGAATTTAGATGGGATTTGCCGCTTCCGATACATCCAGAAACGTTGGGAAGATGGAGAGGTGATTTTAAAGAGAGAAGGGAAGGGTTTGGGCAGGAAAAGAGGACAAGAAGAGGAATTTAGCGTGTGCACCAACTCGTTATGGACAAGAGAGAGAAGGTCAAATCCATTTCATAGAGACTTCCCTCCTACCCATCTCTCTCTATGACAGAAGAAAAGACTCATAGTTTTCCACAAACAACAAACAAAAAAAAAAAAACGACTTTTTGTTTTTTGTTGTTTTCCTAAAATGTCCAACACAATGCTCAACGTGACAGTGTGCCAATATTAACAACTGTCAAATGCCCTTTTTTGTTTCAAGTGAAAATTATTTTGCCAAAAAAAAGTGAAAATTCTTGATGTCAACGAGTATGTTTTTTTTTTTTTTTTTTTCGGAGTAACGGGAATTTTTGGTCTATGTCACTCATGCTTGTGAGTTCAAGTAGAACCGAGGATAAATTTTGAACACATGAACTAATTTCTCAATTCATATACTAATTAAATTAAGACTAGCGCTTTGGTGGAGATGCGAACTCACCCCAGAGATTAGATATAGTTTGTCCAACTAACTGAGGTCTATTCTATCGACTAACCACGCTTTTGTCGTCTATGGAACTTGAATTTTTTATCTTAAGAAAATAAAGATTTTATAAGATAAGAAAAATATTATTGGACCAAATGACCATTAGTCAATAGACATGTTTGGTTGTGGAATAAGAGTAAAAGGGTCAATTTATACATATTAATTTTTTTTGATCGTATACAATTTTAATTGATTGATACACGATATTAGTATATAACAACCTCCCCCTAGAAAGTCGAATGAAATAGATCAAATTTTCTTTCTATGTCCATTTTGGTTGGTTGACTCTCATCCTATTATATCCCTTGTGGTTAGGAGGGGGATTTGTCCAAAAATGATTATTTTTATGGTGGTACGGAAGACACAGACTTCGCGACCGTGTCATGCCTTAATGTTTTTAGTTTAATCTCTTTAATCTTATAAGATTTAAATTTAGGCTTTGTACATTATTATATGATTTATGTGTTTAAAAATTAAGGTATAGTTACAAGTTCAAAAAATACATATTTGGGATGTTTATTTATTACAAAAAAAGAAAACAACATCCACTGTAATAGCTATAATCAATTTGGCAAAAGAAAAAAAAAAACGTATTTAGCTATTTATTAGGAAGGGTTATTTTCGTAAATAGACAGGTGGTAGTTAGGTTAGTTTATATGACGTGAGTGGAAATTCAAAAAAAGTAAAGGTTACTATTGTAAATGTTTAAATACATACGGTTCATTCTAATTCACTAAGACTATCAATAAAAACGTGGCCTATTATTATTGGCGTGGCTTGTCTACGTTGGCAACCATCTAGATGCCACCCGATGGACCCCACACTTAGAGTTAGTCCAACAGCCCCTTCTTAATTCTTTTATTTAGATAAATAGCCCTGAACTTAGACATATTTACACACGTGATCACGAGAAGCAGACCATTGTGTTGCCGTATTAAAAATGAATAGATTAAATAAAATAATATAGTCTAATACAATATAAATAAATTAAAGACAAGATTAAATATAATATTAGAATAATAAGTAATTTTATCTAATGTTTAACAATACACAATATAAGTGTTGGATAATAATTATTTAATCAAATCAATTGTTTAGTTAGAAAATTATTTAATCGTATTAATGTTGAATTAACAAAAATATTTTCAATCAGTGTTTGTTAAATTGATAACAACTTGAATTTATCACTTGGGAGGTTATAATAGTAAATGTATAGAATAATACGTTTGAATTGAATTATAATACCACATCTTTTGGTGATATTAAAAAACCTTCATAATACAAGTCTATCGTATAAAAAATATAAGATAAGTATACGATAAGTATATGTTTTTGAAATTAATACGGTATCAAATTTGCTTACCAAACAAAATATTAGGTCCGATTAAATAAAAAATAGTACAATCCAATATTTAATCCCCTCTTAATACGTCTAACAAACGAGCTCTTAGTTGTTTTGTTTTTGTCAAGACCAGAATATCCATCTCTCATCACTTGATTCTAAGAGATTGTCAATTTTTAAATTTAAAACGTCTGTATTTATAACTCGTTTATATTATCACTTGAATTATCCTTAGAGTGTGCTTGTTTTAACTATTAGTAAAGAGGGATTGAAAAAAATAACGTCGGGCCCACCTTATTCCTCTCATGCTTATATTTGGATACATATTCGGTATTATCACTCAAAAATAATACCGATCAAGATGAATAGTATATATAATACTATATACAATCTCTTAAATAGATATCTGACTTCGCACTCTTTTCATCCACCCTTGCCAACTGTATCTCTATCTCTATCTCTACCTCTATCTCTTTAAACAATATTTTCTCTGTTAGATAGCTGCAAAAAGTGTGCCAATATAACAAAGAAAAATATGGAATGAATTGAGTCAAGGTTTCCAGAGAAGTATTGAATCATACAGTTTATGGACTGGTTGAGAAATTCAAATTATCTAGAACATCTCTTTTCATAAGACTCATCTATTTGGTTGTGTATTTAGTTGGATTTAGACCTCATCCAATCTAATGTTCATGTAATTTTCTTTGATTATAGATCATTTGCCATGAATTCAATTGCGACTAACAGTATATAAGTGAGTTCTCTGTCAATCCATGATAATATAATAAAAAATTATTTAAAAAAAAAGATGTGTATTGATCGAAATTGGATCCAATTCTACTAACCATCTAGATACCTCAAATCAAATTGGATTATTTTTTTTGGATAACGGGGAAATCACTGACCAGTCTCCAATGAGTAAATGCGCGTTTATATCGCTCAAGCTCGTGAATTCAGGGAAAACTAAAGGTAAATCCCCTGGTGCATGAATTGGTTCTTCAAAACATACATCAGTTAAATCAGTATTTACGCTTTAGTGGGGATTTGAACCCACACCAGAGATTTCGATGCATTTTGTCTAAGCAACTGAGATTCGTTCTACCAATCTCACTTTTTTTTGTCCAAGGGACTTAAATCATTGACTTCAAGAAGACAAAGTCTTCACAATACAGAAGGTACTATTGGATCAAATGTTTGTTGGTCAAACTTACTTGAATTATGTTTGAAAGGATCGAGTTATAGTACCGAAAATAATTTTTTGTACTATACCTTCACTCTTTATCTAATAAAAGTGTTACATGTGTAAGTTATTATGGTACATTCCCTTCTCATTTTAGTAAATCAATGGCTAGAAACCAATTAAACCAAAAAAAGCTACTTAGATCAATTTGAGTATAATATTGACATTTTTATATGCATCCTAGACTTACCCTAGTTTTAAATGTGAAGAGGACTGAATCTTTTCTTCCTTTTTTGCTGCTGTTACTATTAGTGACGTTAAAGTAAGTACACAAGCTCTGAATATTGTCAAAGTCTGTTCCTCAACTTGCGTAACTGGTGCCACATGACGACGGAAGTTACGAGCAATTATATACTTAATTTTCCATGGATAGACTCTATCTTGCCTTGAAAGTTCAACCTTTATTTTTTCTCTTGAATTGGCCAATTTCAGATGTGACTAATTCTAGAACCTTTAGAAGAGTTTCCATGCAGTGATTAATGATAATGATATCATTGACTGCAACTACGAGGGCCAGTAAATATAAATGGTCCAATAACCAAGAGTTTGGATTTTGTTTGGGCAAGATTAGATAGAATTTTTAGTAATTCAGCTTCATGTTCGGATAGCATGCCCACTCCACTATGCATCAATTACATCCAACACTCAAATTTAACTATCCCAAATAGGCTTAGAGAATTGGAATTTAATTCTAAACCGATAGATATTAATCTTGTTACCCATTTATTTAAATTATATTCAAATTTATTGATAGGCCTAATCGTATTTCTTAGCAACGACAAGTCTTAGGGGCAGGAGAGGGTGAAGATCATCCCTAAGATTTAAAAAAAAAAAATTTTTTTTTTCAATTAAGTTACAATTCTTTATAAAAACATAGTATTTATAGTGGCTTTTACAATTACAAAGATCAATACAAAACTAACCCCCCACCCCTAGAAAAGGGTCTTAATTGCAAAGATGGTCCCCAAAGTTTGCACTTCATCTCTTTTTGATCTTCAATATTACAATTGTACCACATTAGTTTATAATGTATTGAATTTGTTTTTAAATAGTCCCCAAGTATAATGCTGTCAAAAACTTTAACGGTTTTTACTCATGTGGTTCAGACATACTCCCCACATAAAAGAATATTTTAGACAAATCCTTGTCTACTTGACCTAAAAATTGCAGCAGTAATCCCCAAATTATACTCTCCGTCTCATTTTGATCTCCCAACACTACAACAGTCTCTAACGTATTGTAATATATTAATTTTGTTTGAGATATTAGCTTTGGGTTTCAACTGCTAATGGTGGTAATCTACCCAGGAAACTGAATGTATCATTTGCAGCCCATTTAAAAAATAGCGAAAAATACATGAAAATAAGGGAAACATTTATTTTTCTCTAACTATAAACAGTAGCCATACAGATCTCAAACGTTATACAACTTTGAGATTCTGTACTAGTGTATATACATCCATTTAGATCAGTGAGCAAAACCAGACATACCCTCGTGTATCTGAAGATTCAAATTTCTGCTATGCTCTGATGGAAGCTTGAAAAACCATGTAGTCCCCACGGAAAAGGAGAAAAGGATATGTGCTACAAATGATTAAAGGTATAAAATTTGTATAACCGCCTGATGCGGCATGAATGAAGCTGCAAAGAGGTGAAGCTGGCTACCCTCTTGGTGGTGTCTAAAATTGGACAGCTACCGCATCTTCTTTGCAATCTTCGGGTTTTTGCACATTCGGATACTTAAAGGTGTAACCTCCACCAGTTCATCTTCTTGAATGTATTCTATGCAGTCATCCAGACTAAAATCCAATGGGGTATCAAGAACCACTGCATGTATCAATGAAAGAAAGTTATCTTTATCTATTGCACCAAAGCAAGGCTTGTTGCTTATATGTGACAGTGCAGCCAGAAACTAAGTACAACCTTCAAAGTGAAACACCCCCCCCCCCCCTCCAAACCACCAAAAAAAGGGGGGGAGATTTATAAAATATGATCAAAGCAAAAGGAGGCTTCTGAACCACTAACATATATCTTTTGAGAAGCCCTTTTCAAATACCAACCACAGCTTGTCACACTAATAAAAGTTGAACGAATTTTGGGACCGTAAGCCAAACACAAGGGAGTGATTGGCAACTATGAGGGATTGCCAGTATCTCTGTATAGCTCCAAGCAGCTTTCTTATATAGCCTTTCAGAAGTTGCATTTCCTCAAATGCACAAACATCCATGGAAAGAATGACTTCTTATTTCTTCAAGAATACTAAGGAAAAACTTTCAAAAGCCGCACTTCTTATTTCGTCGTATTAATGAAATTTTAAAAAACAGAATTTTCATAGCAAAAAACTCCAGCTAAGCAAAAGGTTGTGCAATGCAACAGAAGAATCAAGTGATCTAACTTTAATTTTCATTGGAACGGCAACAAACTTCAGAGATGTATTTGAACAGTTTCTCACCTGTTTGTTCTTTATTGGAGCGTACATTGGTTGCAGCTTTTTTCTTGCACACATTCAGGTACAAGTCACCAGGCCGCTGATGAATGCCAACTATTTGACCTCTATAAACATCCACTCCAGGGCCAATAAACATCTGCCCTCTTTCTTGTGAACTACAGAGAGCATAAGATGTACTGGTTCCATCCTCAAAAGCAACCTACGTTACATGCAGCCCAATAAGCTTAGATACAATCGATGCAAGTGGGGCCACATTGACCTCATCAAAAACATAGTAGAAGAAATAGAAAACATAAAGCTAGGTTGAAATGATAAACAATGTTACCAATCAATAAGCTTTATTAAAATGAGAAAAAAAATCGAACACCTTTGGCATTACAATCTTAAAAGTCATCTGAACATTGGACGAAATTGAAAACAGTATAGCTGGGAGATTACCAGTGAACCCTGATCACGAGTCGTTATATCACCAGCCCAAGGTCCATAGCTATCAAATATTGTGTTGAGAATGGCTGTGCCTCGAGAAGCTGTCAAGATTGCATTTCGAAGTCCTAGGAGTCCACGGGTCGGCATCTTATACTTGAGCAGTGTTGTTCCTTCAGACCTTTGTAAAGAAGTGAAGTTACTGTTTGTAAGACATGGTTATAGAATCTAAGGAGTTAACCTAGAAAAAACCTTTTACAGCTAAAAACATAATTGATGTACAAAATCATAATGGCAATAAGAATTTTTAAAGAAAAGTTGATAGAATATGGAATTGCATCAAAGATTAAACATGAAAATAAATGAGACTAAGCAATAGGACATGTTACTAGGTCAGAAAGGGGGCCAATGGATATGTTGAAATGCCATTCCACAAGTGATTTCTGTTGAAGCACGGTGGTTCCACACAATGAGCATTCCAACAAGCGTGTTGTATTTCTTCTTCTTGGGGACCAATGTAACACAATTGTAACATTGGAGGGACCAAAATGAGACGAAGTGCAAACTTTCGGGACCACAACTACAATTAACCCTTGTTTTTTTCAATTTTTATATTTTTCCACGCTTTGTTGATTACTACCTTACATGTTTTATGGGGATGCAAATTTATCCTAACATGCCTTATGATCATCTTCTCTTCAATTCAAGTATACTGCTATCTTTTTGTCTCGAACTGGTATTAGATGTCATTCTCTCTGTCCAAACCAGCATGAAATAATCATATATGTTAGACTAAGAGGCATGGATACGGACACTAGTGCCGTATCCGATATGATACAATATGAACACCGGGATACGACAAAATCCCAAAATATAGAACACGGTACGGTTAATTAAAATAATATAATATATTTATATATATATAATAATATTAATAATAAAATTAAATAATTAATTAATATTTTATAATTGGACAAATGAGTTAATATTAAATTTGATTAGTAGACTAATATGTTATGGATAATGGACTAAATTAAACTGGGTAGTGGGTGACAACCAATAAGGTGTTATTTGCAATTTCGCAACTAGGGCAAAAAAAAAAGAAAATTAAAAACTGAAAAGGTAGGGCTAGGGCTAAAAAGGAAAAAAAAAAAAGAAAGAAAGAAAGAAAAGGTGTTGCTTTTCTAGGGCAAGCCGTAGCTGCAGCAGCAACTCGTCTTTGGTCGACACTGGAAGATCTGATCCGAGGGAGAGAGTTCGAAAACAGAAATCGTCGCCGATCTGATTTGAGAGAGAGAGGTGTCGAAGAGAGATATGAAGACATACCTGGTCGAAGATGAGATCTATGGATGTGGCATCTCAGGTTTGTATCATCTTTTTTTCCCTTTTTCTTTTTTTTTTTTGTTTTAGCAGAGATCCATGACTGTGACCATATCCCCGCCATATCACCCCCATATCTAAGTCGTATCCATCCATAAAAAATATTTCTTCACTGTTTAGAACACTTGTGGAAGTATCGGACACGTGTCCAGCCGTGTCCGACATGTGTCCGACACTGCCACGTCAACCCCCTGTGGAGTATCTGTGCTTCCTAAATATTAGAACTAGGAGTTGCACATATAAATTTTACATGCACCAGGTACCTTAAATTACTGAGTGTTAAACAACCATCTACGCCAAAAGCTTAAGCAGTTGGAGAGGTATAGCATAATTATTTATATTTTAATACGCCCCCTCACGTGACGTGCACACTAGATTTTGAGTCTAACACGTAAAAATCTTTTAATAATTAGGGTGGAGACGAAATTCAAATACAAGATCTCCTGCTTTGATACCATATTAAACAATCATCTACTCCAATAACTTAAGCTGTTGGAGATTGTATAACTTAAGTTTTTATACTTCAACGCTGAGGGCAACACCAATCACATGGTGCTTCATTGGCAATTCACATTTGATGGACTTGCCTGATAGAATCCCTGGATAATTAGACCAGAAACCTCATGATTTTGAATATGGGTTGGATTCACTTGTGGACTTATCAGCGATGACAACCATACTGCACCACATACAACCTGTCAGTATGGTCTAGGGAGACGAATGCACCTTCTCCACATGAGCCTATTGAGGCTCAAATTAACTCCTATAAAAGTAACAGTCACTACAGATTGGCAGTTGAGGAAATGCCATAATGCAACTGTGCATCGAATAATTAAAAAGTAAGAGTCAAAAACAATTAAGTAATTGCATGCCATAAATTACCAATATTTCTGTTGGCAGTGATAGTTAGGAATAAAAAAATGGAAAATTGGCAAATAAAACATTTTACATACCCAAGTCCTTGCATATCAAACATCTGTCCACGCCTTTTACCAAGAAGTTCCACCACAGGCCCCATGTGTTCTTCAGGAACTTCTACAGTGGCAATCTACAAGAAGCACATTGGGAAATTTTGATTTTGATACAGGGCATTACATAGTAGTGGGAGCAAGGATCAAAATTTCGTTTCGAAGTACCGTTTCGGTCAACTCAAAAATAGAAACGTTTCGGAAACATTTCGGAAACGCAATGGAAACGCAGAAAAAATATGGAAACGCATAGAAACACAAATGCAATCCATTAATTTATAAAGATATGCTAAATAATTTATTAATTCAACATATTTATTAGGTTAACATCAATTTATACAAGAATAAATTTAAATTTGAGGAAAAAAAAGGCTTGACTTGAGGCGAAAGTCACTTAAATTAGTTTCAAACACTTAATTTTTATGAAATAAACACATTTTTACATAATATTAAGGTCTTATAATACACATGAAATGCTAATGAGTACATACTTACATGGTTACATCCATTCCCCTGTGGAGTGTCGAGCAGGCTCATACATCGGTGTAGGCTCTGGGTAGCTACTTAGAGAAACTCCATATGTGACATAAATATGATGACAATAGTTACTCCAAATCATATTATTACGGTAATATAATCCAATTAATAATACTATTTTATTATAATACTAATAATGAAGGGTATCAAATTAAATTAATGATACTTATGTATACTTAAAAATTAAATGTAATTGCAGTGGGTATTAAATGTAATTACAGTAGGTATTAAATATAATTACATTAGGGTATTAAATGTAATTGTTAATACTTATAACAAAAAAAAAAGCAAAAAACTTGCACAGCAGTGAGGTATTAAATATAATTACAGTATGTATTAAATATAATTATAATGGGTATTAAATATAATTATAGTAGGGTATTAAGTGTAATTATTTATTCTTATAACAAAAAAATTATAAAAGACAAAAGAGCAGTGGGAATTAAATGTAATTATAGTGGGATATTAAATATAATTATAGTGAGTATTAAATGTAATTACAGTGGGTATTAAATATAATTATAATGGGGTATTAAATGTAATTATTCATAATGAACCGAATATATCACTGTTTTGTCGAAACGGTTCGAAACAATGCCGTTTCGACCGAAACAGTCCGAAACAGTACCGTTTCGACCGAAACACTGGAATTTTGTGATTCAACTACTGTTTCGTTTCGGAGTGTTGAAATTCCGAAACGTTTCGGACGTGTCGACACGACATTTTGATCCTTGAGTGGGAGTAATGGAAAAATCTACATGAGGATCAAATACTACATCCTCTTTGGCCAATAAGTCGCCATCATTGCCACTTCTACTAGATTGCACAGGGATGTTCACTTTTTGGGCAAAAAGACTTTAATTTCAACCCTCATTGGGCACTCTATGTACCCTTTGGAACATTCAGTACAATGACCAAGAATCCTTTGATCCCCCCCCCCCCAAAAAAAAAAAAGTATTAAGCATAACTATTAGAGTAATCTCTGAAAGCTTTGAAGGGCATGGTCTCCCATTTTGGTTATTTTCTCCACACAAACACAGCCCCGGGTGTTCCTCTTTTTTTTTTGTGGAGGAGGGGATTAGATCATGCTGTCAATTGAATTGGACTATGTTCATGTTCATATAAACCATGAACCATACATATCCCTGCCTACTAAAGTATAAACAGAGCAGTACCAAAATAAGCAAATAATCACCTCAAAAGGTTCAAACAACCTGTCGTCCACTTTTTTATTGATTACTTTGGGGGGTCCCACCATGAACTCATATCCTTCCCTTCGCCTGAAACATGTTTCGTTGTACAAATATGCGCGAATAACAAAAATAAAAGTCAACAAAGATTACAATTTCTTACATGTTCTCTATTAGAATGGTGATATGCAAAGTACCCCGTCCACTAACAATGAACGTGTCTGCTGTTACACCATCTTCAACTCTCATGGCCAAATTTCGCTCAAGCTCACGGTAGAGGCGATCTCTTAGATTTCTACTAGTCACAAGCTTTCCCTGAGCGAACATAAGAATTTCCACCTGTTAATGCTAACTTACCTGGACTTGATGCTAATTCAGTACACAATGATGTTGATACAAGATAAGACAAGACTGAGCAATCAGGCTTACTAAAGAGGATAAATCTAAAATTCTAATTGGATGGATGGCAAGACGTTTGCAAATAGAATTCCCTGTAATTACAATCCCAAAAAAAAAACTGAATAAAACTGCTGCTAAAATTGTAGCATTCATTTCATTGCTCACTCTATGTAGTAACATGATAGTTATTTAATATGCAAATTCATATGCTAAAGGAAGGAAACGTAAACAAGAGCCACAAAAGACATGCAAGGCTCATGCCTCGAGGTTGTATATAGCCACCTTCTGGCTACTTTTAAAGTATATCTCTGAGGGCTCAAAACTGAGCAAGATGACTCAATATTAATTGTAAATCACATCATTCAAGCTTGACTTACATTAACAAGTCAGATTTACACCAACCTGAAAAGGATTTAAACAAATGATTGGTTGCATTTTTAAATTGTAAGATTTTGAACTCATGTAGTTGTCAGAATAACAAGTGACCTAGGTCGTACGTTCATAGCATTGTCAATAGCTTAAGCACCAAAGTGATTGCACAGCGTTAATGTCATATAATACCAACATAATATTTTTATGTACGATAAGTCTCTTAGCACTTATGCACTAATGAGAAATTTATTGCAATAATGACAAGATATTGAAAGTGGAAACCTGGCTTGGAGTCTTAAATTCAAATCTTATGTGGAGAGTGCCAGGTGCAGCCTTTACATCTGTTTTAGGTACGAACTCAAATCCAGAGGTCAACTTAGTCACAGAAAAGTGAGGAATAAACAAGATGTAGAGGCATTACTTGCATTCCAATTAACACTAATTTAACTGGAGAGGAAGAAGAAAACATTATGACACCCATGCAAAATCCACTATCATTACCATCTCCACCAATGTTGCCACACCACCGTCCCTATATCATAATCTCAAAAACCTTTCCCTTAGAGCAATTCCATGTTCCACCACCTGTATCACCACGGTTGCACCCTAGCTGCAGCCACCCCTTGCCACTACTTGCCTATTTTGATAAGAAACGAAATATTTTTATTAATTTAAATTGCCACTACTTGCCTTGTTACCAAGACAATATTGTGCCTCCAAAATAACCCCCTCAACACCATCAATGCTTATGCCAACCGCATCATAACTGCACTTTTGTAGCCACCCTTCGCTGTTAAAGATAAGGATTAATGACCACTTCCACCTCTAAACCATGCTTATAACACCACCACCATAACATCAATTCTTCAGATCCTAACAATACCATGGCTACCTTTGCTACTGACACTTTATTATTTCACCATCAAACAACCACTTCCAGTGGTAGCAACCTTCCCCCACCAGTTCAGTAGCATGTCAATGCAATCAGCACAGGCATAGTCATCACCTTAATAGCAATTCAGCCGCCCATCACAGAAAACAGGACCACACCACATTGTTCAACAAGTCTCCAACAAAATCACTACTTCAAGACCGCCTTTGATGAGCTGTAACCACGGCCAGCATCCTAGACACCTCCAATGTATGAATTTTCAACACCCCAAAGAGCACCGCTTCCAATTCCAAATGATGCAATGAGGTCGAAATATTAGCTATAATGTTTCATCACTTCCCATAAGAGAAAAGAAGGAATTAAAAACACTATATTATCAGTTCAGATTTGAATTGGTAATCTTGAACCTGAGACATCATGGAAGAAAATCACTTCTGACCTGTGGATTCTTGGAGATAAGTTCTGTCACTCCCTCTCTACATCTCTTCCACTCTCCCTCACACACACAAGATAAATTTTAAGATTTAAGATGTTGACCTAAAAATAATAGTTTCCAATGATGCCAACTAATATGGAATTCATTAAAAATTTAAGCTTCTTTTTCCCCCTTTTTCATAGACGGGTAGTGCAATACGTAATTCTACATTCTTATCAATCTCCAAAAAATAGGGGGAAAATGAAAAAAAAAAAGGTTTTATCTCCATTATTGTACTAATCTGAAAAGTAATCAGGAAAGACATGGTAGAAAGGTGAGCCAAAACATGTGTTGAAAATACCAAGTAGAAAAGTGAAGAACTATCAAGGTATACAAGTGTGCATCGCCCATGGCTGAGCATATAATAAACAATACCTCACGGCCAACAAAAGGTGAAGTATTGATGGAGAAAGACATTTTCACTGTGGGTTCTTCCACCTTAATGGAGGGTAATGGCTTCCCTAAATTTTTGTCGGCAATTGTCTCCCCAATCTGTGTAACAAAAGAAATTCATTACAGAAATTAGGCTGAGATCAGGATTCAATTTAGAGCTATATCTTGCAACTAATGTCAAAATGAGAGTTAAATTTATACCTGAATATCGTCAATGCCACAGACAGCACAGATATCACCAGCTTCCACAGTATCTGCCGGAACTCTGTTGAATTTCTCATACACGAAAAGTTCACTAACTCTTGCATATCTGCATGCATCTTCTGAGGTGCATATCTAGTGATATTGAAACAATATAGATATTACAAAAATAATTAGGCTGTTGTTCCTCTGTAGAGGAAATCAATAGATGACTGCATAAGCATATGCTTCCTCTAAAATGAATTTCTTAAAACCATAAGTAACCTAATTGGCTTTGCACTGGACATGGCAATGATTTAAACTTCATGAGGCACTTTTTGGATTACATAACCCGCAGCATAGGATGTTGATACTGTCACCCAATATCCAAAGCAAAGACAGATGCTTTATCCCCTTTACATGAGCTACATTCTTAAGTATCTGTGCTTAAGATGAGACTCAGATCCAAGTATGCAACATACTTTCATCTTTGCATATCAAGAATCGGGCCTCGTAATTTCAGGGGAAGTCAGGAAAAAGTCAAAATGGAACTTCTCAGCAGAGTCAAATCATGTCATGCAAATCAAACCCATTGGTAAAATTAAACTCAAATTTGACCAATGATTTTCATAGATTACCAAAACTTAAGTAGCCAAAGAGTTCTGATTTTTCTGAGGCAGTTTCTTTGCCTAGTACAGGAAGGCTGCTGGTGATGCAGGATCAATGCAAGCTGCCAGTTTTGAGAGTTAAAAATTCTTTAATTCTTACCATTTGAGTTGTGTAAATGGCTTTGTTCTTTCTTTGGGTGTTTTGTTGTATTGAAGACAATATTCTGCTGTCTGTTTGTTTCTTGTAATTCTTTGGTTCTTTAATAAAATTTTCTCTTTGGGTTAAAAATAAAGGTAGTCAAAGAGCACTTGCAATAGCCCTTGCTACCAAAATCGCACAAAATAGGGTATAACAGTGTGAGGAATAGATTTTAGCTCTAATGCAACCTACCCGCACATCCATTCCTCTACGCAAAGAACCAGCATGCAAACGTCCAATAGCTATGCGCCCTTTATGTTCCTCATACTCGATATTTGTGACCTGAAAATATTTTTAAACAGCAATTGATTGCAGATAAGTCATATGATGTCAATAATTATATACAATATAAAGTAACATAATCTAACCCAGATAATACTAACATAGTTCTAGATTCCAAACCTTAAGAGTTATGTGGATTTTTGTAAAACAAAAAAAACTGAGAGCTATATTATATGATGCTATGCAAAAATAAATCAATGAAATTCGCTCTCATCATTCTCCTCTCCGCAGGGTTAATTCTGATCTTTCTATCAATATTACATGGTTGAATCCTATTATCAATTTTCATTTAAAATAACACATTGCAGTTAATATACGAGTTGGAATTCAGCCACTTGAATCATTGTATTTTCATCATTCACATCATGAGGGAGCAAAGCTACACGAGTCAAGGACTGTGTGGCTGCATAATAAATAATGAAAACCTGGTAAGTGATCCTTGCATTTGATCTGCAAGGATCGTACAGAGAACTGAAGGGAACATACAAAGCCCAGTAAGCCAGTTTTTAGTACACGGTGGGTTTACCAATCCCTACGTTACATGGACTCGTCAAAATGCACCAAGTACCTCTGTTGGACACTGCACATCCAAGTAAGGGTATGGGATAAGGGCACTATGTCTGACAATTACCATTGGATATGCACCTAGCATATCCAATGAATCAATTTTTTGGAGTGTGTAACGCATCAAGAAGGAGAAGGCTGAGAATAACAATACAGCATACAAGGAATAAAAGTAAAAATATGGACATAAAGACAACCACTAACGAGCATTTGAAGAGCACCGTCTTTCTCGATATGGGGTCCCGGTATGCATCTAATTATGGATTCGAAAAGTGGTCCAAGATCCTCTGCTAAATTCTCGGGAGAAAGTCCAGACTTTCCCTTGATACCACTTGCATATATTGCTTGGAAATCACACTGCACAAAGAATGAAAAACAATAAAGATTAAACAAAAGCTGATCTCCTAGGGCGTCAAACTACCTCTGAAGCTTAATACATTGACACAACAAAAAATAAAGTGCCAATTCTACAGGTGACTATCTTTTTGTGTTGCTCCTTTGACCAGATTTAACAGATTCTGGAAACAGTTCCCCAGATTTAGACATGAGCAGTTAGTTAATTAATTCCAGGCTCCATCCAGTTTTGGAAAGTCAAATGATCTCAAATTTATGTTCAAATTTGAACAAGACCCCAATTTTATTTTTCTGTCTGTACAATGACAGAACCACGTGAATGGCTTGCATTCATCTATTTAAGAGGTCAGGACCACAATCCTGACCCAAAATAGACAATAGTGCACTCCCGGCTTGTGTCCATTGTAAACTGCATAGTTCAACAGTAGAGTATTATGGCTGTTGCTGCCAAGCATTAGTATGCAGTTTCGAGTCTGGGAGCAACCATTTCATACAATTATGTAAAAGGCTAGGTCCATGTCCATTCTGCCTTTCCGAGCATCTTGTGTAAGCAGGACTGCATTGGGTAACTGCCTTTTTCGGGCTTTCATCTAACGTAGAATAGAATTTTTTTTCTTTCAATGATGTCTTGCAGAAGTACCTGCTCATCTGATGCATTCAGTTCAATAAAGAGTTCAAAAGTGGAATTGATGACATAATCTGGACGAGCAGAAGGTCTATCAATCTTATTAACAACAACAACGACAGCAAGGCCAAAGTCAAGTGCCTTCTTTAAAACAAATCTTGTTTGCGGCATTGGACCTTCAACAGAATCCACCTACAAAAAATGCCACATCTATTGGTCAGTATTTATTTATATAATCCCATCAAAGATGAAGAAGCTCCAGATAGAGACGCCCTAGAGGATAGTATTTAAAGCAAAGCATATCAAGAGGCCCCAAAAGAAGTCATGAGCCAATAAAAATGGGGAGAAAAAAAAAGCACCAAAACATCATAGTAAAGAAGTGACGTGTGATTTCGTTGTGGGTGTAGATCTGACGAAACACAAAACCCACGTATTCTACAAACTATCAAATTAATGAGAAAGAAAAATCAAAGTTTCGAAGTTGATTTCAATATCAACCTCCACATAAAATATCGTGTAAATTGAGAAAATGAAAAATTGTTCTAATGTATAATCCAGCAGATTCTTCCAGTCAGGAAAACCAAATGTTAGAGAGCTTACCACTTATTTCCGTCAGATCCCTGAATACGATAAATATGTGGAAAGAACTTCGTGTATTATAACTTTGTATGAGCAGGCATCACTGGTTAACAATCACCACACAACAGCACTTTCCAGAACATGAATATTTTTTTCATTACTTTCAGTGTTTGTTACATAGTTTCTCCCATTTTAGAACTATAACGATGTGAAACAACAGAGTTAACGCTAGTTTTGTATACGGCGTTTAGAATATCGATTCATAGATAATGAGCCAAATGGAAAAACTGGCCTTCTCAAGACCTTTTGAAAATCTTATGTCTAATATTCCTGTAAAAGGCATGAAATATGGCAAAGGTTGTACGAAGGATTTGGATGTTTTCCTAACTGCACACCCATTATTTATGGAACAATTAGGACTTCCAGCACCACTACACAAAATACCAGTACAGATGAACAATTGTGGGTACAGAGAGGTGTAAAAACAGGACTGCATTCAGAAAAGAAAATGTCCTGGGAGTTGAGAAGTGAGATCCAAAGACTAAAATAGGATGGCTTTTGGAAAAATACATCTTAGGTAGATAGCTATGTTAGGATTTTCACCACTCCAATATAAAATGCTATCCTGCTCTACCATCTATACAATTGAACAAAACCTGAAAAAGAAAAAAATCAGATGGCCATTAGTCCCCTTGTGGGATAGAATAATGAAGCTCCCCCAAGAAAAAACGGCAGAAGGAAATCCCAACTTTCGGGATGAGCAAAATAAGATCCTTTTAAAAAACTACATCCGCGATCCGCCTCTACCCCACACAGGTTTAAGTCTCTATCAACGATCTGAAAAGAAATTACCTCCCATTCCAAATTAAGGTAAAAATCTTGTATAAGAGTAGTCTTAGTCTGCTCTGACCAAGATCTTTAGGGATGATTCCGAGCTACATTTCTTAAGGAATTCCAACACATTTGATTCAAACTTTATACCTAATGTTCCATTGACTAGCTTCTTTTTCCCTTTAACTGATACGATTATTGAACATAGAGTATAAATGATAAATAAAACAAATCATCAGATCACCCGCACAAGTTATAAGTAGAGAATGCAAGAGATGCATCAAAAACTTCCAAGCAACACTGCTTATAAAAAGAATACCACTAGAAGAACTCCCTCCACCATATTGAGGATGCGCTCCACTTCACCACCAAAGTCAGAGTGCCCCGGAGTGTCGATTATATTTATTTTTGTATCTTTATAAAAAATTGATGTGTTCTTGCTAAGTATAGTAATTCCCCTTTCACGCTCTAGATCATTTGAGTCCATTATCCTTTCCTGTACAAATTGGTTTTCACGAAATACCTGCACCAAGAAATAAGCTAAAAATCAGTCTCACTATTTTAGCCTAATCCCTAGGAAAAGAAAAGCATAGATGAAAATTAGTTGAAAATTATATTACAGCTCACAAATAACATCTACAAGTGGCTATAATAATTTTCAGAAAGCAATTTTCTCCTTATCCTTTAATGGAACAATATTTTTTTCCACGGTTGTCTACAAAACTAAAGAGATACCTTCCATGATTGCATTCATTATAGACTGAATCATACACCATCTACCATTCATTTCCAAGCCAAAGACAGATCTCAAGATACTGTCAACTTGTCAGTACAACATTTACTATGACAAACTCCAACCAAGATCCATCAACCGATTCAACATATCAAGAATTTGGAACTCTTGCCACATGACATGTTTCTTTCAAATCATTAGTGATAAATTCATTAAGGATCCGTTTGTTTAGCGAAAAAAATGGTAGAAAATGCAAGAAAAAAAATTTATGTGTTTAGTTAGTACGAAATGGAAAATGATGGAAAAAATAATTTTCTTTCATATTTAAATTTTCTCACAACTCACTAATTTTTTTTCTTGTAAAAAACACAAGGAAATGCATGAGAGTTGTGATCGATAACTAACTTCTTATTTTAACCTTATTTTTCTTAAAATATTTTATTGGTTATTAATTTTTAAAAATATTGGTATGAATTTGATTAACCATATAATTTGGTCCAAAGACCTTCGTATTGGTGCTTGTCCTAAAATTAGGTTACAAGCCACTTTTTTTTAAAAAAAATTTTAACTTTAAATTATAATGCATATTTTTTTCTTCTTTAGACCGATTTAATATAATCAAAAATAATTTAGACAATTAAAAAAATTTATTGCAACTTTACTTTCTTTCAAACATTAGGAATGAAAATTTTTTAAAACTTTCTTGCAATTTTTTCATCCTAACCAAATACATGCATGAAAATATATTTTTTATCATTTTCTTTTCTTTTACTTCACTTTCTATCATTTTTCTTTTTCATCGCACTTTTCTTCCTAACTAAACGGACCCTAAGAAAAACAAAATGGACAAATAAATTCTCAAAAAGATACCTTTGCTTGCTTCAACATTGCATCCACCAGCGTTGTCTTTCCATGATCCACATGAGCAACGATTGCTATATTTCTGATGTCCCTTCTTCTCATTAACCGGCTCTTTTTCTCTGTAAGCAGTAGAGTAGATCAGAAAACACAACGGCCCCAGCAACACCAAAATGGGTCAAACCCAACCATTAGAAAACAAACATCCAGATTCACACATTACCACTGAGGGGCAGCAAGTGCTCTATGCATCTAGCTTATCTCACATACCGTCTCTCTCTCCCTCTCCCCTTAGTTCCCATTAGTTATATCCCTTTTCATAAGTGAATTGATGATTTGCCTCAGCTAAAATGGGGCACAATTCAGATTCTTTGAAACAACCGGATCATATTTGCTGTGAAAAATAAGATTATAGGGAGCACAAAAAAGGTTGGCTTGATACAATTGTCTTAAGTGTATATTATCTGCGTCGTATCTGTGTATACACCTATTTCTAACCAAGTCAAATATTGGGATGAGTATATAAATTTGAGTGCATCATTACCTCTTAAAAACATCATAATGAGAATCAAATTGCCATATGGCACAGTTTTCTAAGAGACATTAACAGTATACAAAAAATTGTTATGAGCGAGACCACAAAACGAAATAAAAAAACTACAGGTCATAGGAATATAGGTGGTTTGGCTTTAAAGCATTCATCCACAAGTAAAACGCAACCACTAAAGTTCACTATCAAACATGAAGATAAAATCAATAGAACGAAAGACATATCTATGATGAATTTTCAAAATTTATAGCACACACATATACTATTTCTTAATAGCATTAAGTACCCAAATCATTAAGATATCAAAATTCCAAAGAATCATTTGTCTCCTATATGTGCTAGATTCTGAAAATGAGTTCAAAAAATTCGTAATTGTAGGAGCGGAATATAAGACATGGATAACACAATTAAATCCATTATCTACAATAATAAATCAATACCATCATAAACAAGCAAACTTGTAAGGTAAAATGAGAGCAATGAAAAAGTATAATCCAGAAAAAAAATACCAGTTGCAGTTTCAGTGGCTTGAGAAACTGAGCATTTGATAGGATTGCGAACTGGGTTTCTGGTATGGAACTTAAATGGTTGTTTAGTGGTCAAAGATGAAGATAAAGCGAGACCAAAGAACTGGTTTGGGAGATTAGGAGAAGCAAAACTGAAGCTCCGCTTGATAGAGCTAGGGTTTACAGACAACGTGGGAGTGACAGAACTGGCTAAACCAATAGCTATCTCCATTGCTATGCTCACTCACTCTCTCAGAGACGTATGGAGAGAGAAAGTACAGAGAGAGGGAGAGAGAATGCAACGGAGGATCAAGGATGGAGAGCAAGTGAGAGGCTGTTGTTCAAAACTTAATAAGGTTCGTTAGTAACAAGATTACAAGAATTGAGGCTGGTGTTTCTTTGGGCTCTTTTAGTAATTTTAATAGCTTTTGGCAAACCCGAACCAAAGTGACGGGCTCTCTCTGACCCTATGGTTGCATCATCCGGACCAAGGGTTGGAAACGGGCTGGGCCGACCCAGATTTGTGAACTTCTGTCGGGTTATCCATCAAGTTCTTTGGATCGAGCCATAGATCAGTCTGTCATTGTGCATTGATATGGGCCAAAAGGCGGCCCATGGCCCGTCAGGCTTTTCAAGTCCACCAACGGTGTTTGACCATTTTGTATTCCAATTTCCTCAAAGATTTGCCTACGCAAACTTACGGAGTGGTTTAATGGTTAGGCTTATCTTTTAGTAATTCAGAGATTTCAAATTTAATTATTTTTTACCCCCTAAGGGGTAGCCACTCTTGTCCTTTGGAGATATGCTCTAGATTAGTTTAAGTCACGGTGGTCAATCGCTAAACTCGAGAGAATAGTTAGCGTAAGTTTAGACACCCTATAAAAAAAAAATTATGTGAAATACTTATACAAATAAAAATGAGAGAGAGATAAAAAAAAAGATGTAAGGTCGTTTGTCTGCTTGGCTAATTCATAGATTTTTGGACTTTGATTACAAATGAAGAAAGACTTTACAAATAAATCTCTGGAATTGACTTTTCATTGTTGTTATTTTATGTATGTATGATTATAAAGTAACCTTATATCTCCGAATAAAAAAAATCTTTGTAATTATTTATTTAGAACCACTTAAAGCTGTAGAAGTTTGGTAATTGCAGGGTGGAGGTTGTGGACTCTTCGTCTAGTTCGACCTCCTATGTGTTCGTGTGCACGTGCACTGTCAATTTCTTGGGTGATTGTATGGGTTGTATGCACTTATAGCCATGATGAAGTTAGAACAACTATCTGTTCAAAAAAAAAAAGTTAGAACAACTAGCACAGACTGCCAACTTGCTTTAGGTGTGAACTTGGATTGATCCGTATATTGTGTGGACCCAAGGTCGTGGCCGCATAGTGACAGAAACGTAATTGGGTTCTGATGTCTATTTATTCAAGTGTAATAACTCGGATATAACGAACAAGAAGAGAGTTGAGAAACAAAATGAAATCAAACCGTTGATTTACACGCAAATATTGGTTCAAAATAATTCTCTAGGCTTGTTGATTCACTCACAATACCAACCCTAAATACAACAATTGATCTTTTGATTCTTAAGGATATCAGAAGAATTGGAAAAAGAGATAAAGTATTATATGTAATTTTATTTTATTAAAAGTTGTTTTATCCTAAGACTTATAAGAGTTCATATAGTAGCAAAAATCCTAATCAAATTAAAAAAATAGAATCCTAGCTAATTAAATTAGGAAACTGAATAAAATAAAATTTTAATTAATATAGAAAATAAAATTAAGTAACTTCATAATTAAATTAGAAAATAAATAAAAATCTCCTAAAAATTATTCAATTAACTTAATTAGAAAATAATCTGCTCCATTCAAACTGAGAATCTCACCTTTCAATCTGCATCACTAGGCTTGGGTCGGGCCGACAAAGGTATATCACTTTATTTGGTCCAACATGGTCTCGAGCTATAATGGTTAGCCCAAGGTCGGTTAGTGGGCAATGGTCATCGATTAGGCCCACGAAAAGGTGCCTAAGCCTGCTATTTTACTTCATTTGATGAGTTTTAAAATATTTTAAACAAATAAAAAATAAGAATATTGTTTTTTCATCACACGTGTCAATGACTTGAAACATTTTGTACTATAATGCATATCTTTTTTCATACTAAAAAATAAACAATAATTATATATATAAATTATTGTCCACACTCCACATCTACTTCCAAGAAGGAGGTGTTGATGAACAACTTCATGTCACCTAGTAGAATCTAAACCTATCTAATGTCATTTTCTCATCCCTGAGTTCCAATAGAATCTCTAACACCTGTATCTAATTTATTTTATTTTATTATTTTTTTATTCAAAAAAATTAATGAGTACAAGGCACCTTCCACCTTCTGGTTTCACACTTCCATTGCATCAAAAATTTTATTGCAAAATTATGATAAAAAAAAGAGTAATATTATTTCCTTAATTTATTCATCTAATGACATGACAATGACATAATTTAATAACATTTATTTAACTCTAGCTGTTGAGTTTATTTATCGAAATTATATTCATAATCTCTCGTTAATACCCTAATCTAGAAATGAATGAATTGTCTTTAATCAGACCAAAAAGAGTATTAATCGATGTACACATAAGTTGGCTCGGACACTGTTGATCATTATAAAAAAAAAACTCTATTATTAAACACATCATTTAATTAATAATTTAAATCAAATTTTTAGATATAAATATCATTATTCAAAAAAATTGGAAGAGGTCAGCTTCTTTGATTTTTTTGAAAAAAAAAAAGCTTCTTTGAATTTTCTTACGTGTCAAGATAAAAAGATAATATTACATAAATAGTGGGGGAGACGTGGGCAACTTGAAAAGCATAAAAATCAAAATCAAAATGTCACCGACCACGTGTCCATGGTTGAAGGGCATTTACGCCAGCAGATGCATGGATTGGCACCAACGTGAGAAGTATGTTGGGGTCCACAGCTTATGGATGTTTGCCACGTGTTTTTAATGACAGGACTTTGATTGATACCTTATCACGCGTGTCCGCGGTTGTGAATGGTCCACCCGTCTCTACCTAATTTTCGCGGGCTCCACTTGACAATTCTTTTGGCCGACACTCCACAGTCCACAGATGAAAAGTTGCTTGGAAATTTTGTGATGTGGCCCCTTAACTTTTGCATATTGTGGTTTTGAACCCATATTTTTTGCTTAATTAAAAACATACCCATAATTAGTCTTAACCTCATGAACTTTTTTCAAAAACCATTGTACATTAGGGGTAATGCTACTTGGATTAAAGCTGTTGACATGATTTGTTAACTTAATCAATCATTATTATTGATTAATTTGAAGTTCCAGTATTTATTGGGATCTACTATTTATTTAATAATTGTGATTAATCAAATCAACAAATTATGTTAATATTTTAAGTCTAAATAATATTCTCACGTATTAATCATATAAGCCCTAAACTTCACCTTAATCTTATGACAAAAGGAAATCACAGTATCAAGTTTGAATCCCTTCTCGCCCACAACCATCCAAAAGGAAAAGATTTTGCTTTTTAGGTATAATGGGTTGAGTGGAAAACGTATATGATTCTATGAAAATATTTTTCCATTGGAAAATTTGTGATTACACTTGGAGTGTTTGTTGAAATACTAATCATTTTAGGTCGAATTCATGTTGTACAAATTTACAATACGATTAGTGTACCAACTATGATGTATTGACATACTAAAAGAACCAAACTACTTCATAAAATAGCAATTCACGTTCTATTTTTAGTGATCAATTCTTTTATTGTTCCTCACAAGTGATAAAAATTATGTTCCATCCACAATGCTATTTTTTGGATGGGAAGGGCACAAATGAAAAGATAACACAAATAATGGGAAATAAAAAGAAAACCTTTAAAGTAAAGGGATAAATTTAAATTTACATGATTTGAAAATTCAAAGCCTTACTCGGCTTTTATTGTTACATTGCTTCTCTGGGTCTATCTACTTCCAAGTAATATCACTTCATACTGATCTTCTGGAAGCTTCCTTTACTTCCATGTGTGGCCAGTATCACTTGTCCCCTTAATCATAAACCTCATTTGATGAACTACACTAACACCCCCGCCCCCATGACTCTTGTTTTCCTTTCTTCACCATCTTAATCTGGACTGCCACTTCAATACCCAATCACACTCCATCTTAGTTGACCAATTTATTCTCTTTAGCCATAACACTGTTTTTATGGACAATGCGGTTAAAGAGAAAGTTAAGTAAAAGTAACCCGAACATTCGACGAAGAGACGATGGTAAAATTTAATATAAATGATTTTGAAAAGAATGTTGGTGATCATAAATCTATTTGAAATAATTGAATGGACTTATTAAAATTTATTTTATTTTATATTTTAAATTAAGAAAAATTATATTCAAACTACTTGAAATTTTTCACTTAATCACTCAGATCACCTGATATTTAAAATATTATACACAGATCTCCTGAAGTTTATATGCGCGTAACATTTAGATCCCTGCCATCAATATTCGTTAGTATATCGGTTAATAACTTATATTCAAACCCCCTAAAGTTTATACGCACATAATACTTAGATCCCTTAAGTTCAAATTGTTATACATAGATTAAAAATACTCCAATTAAAGATAAAATATTAAATATTTTAAATTTTATAACTAAAATTCATGTTCTATTATGATATTTATTGAAATAAAATTTAAAATAAAAATTTAATTTTTTTTTTAAAAATCAAAATTAGTATAAAATTATACTATCTATTATAAAATTCATGTTTTATTATGAATGACTTAGACCCCTTATATGATTTTTTTAATTTTATTACAATAAATAGTATAATTGTATACTAATTATAATTTTTTAAGAAAAAAATAGATTTTTATTTTTGATTTTATTTCGATAAATGATACAATAAAACATGAATTTTAGTTTTAAAATTTAAAAAATTTTATATTTTATCTTTGATTAGAGTTTTTTTTGTTTTAGTATAACACATTAAAATTGAAGAGTCTAAATATTATATTTATGCAAACTTCAAAGGGTCTGGGTGTAATTTACTTACAAATATATTAATGAATATTTGACGGAAGGAGTTTAAATATTACACGCGTACAAATTTTAAGGGAGTTATATGTAATATTTTAAATGTCAGGAGTCTACCTAATTAAGTGATAAATTTTATAAGGTTTGATTGTAATTCTCCCTATAAATTACTAAACGCAATATTCGTGGTAGGTTAGGTGGGGGTGAAAACAGTACAAATGAAAAGATGGGTGGATAATTAACAAAAAAATCAAAACTAAAGGGCCAAGTTAAATTTATACCATTTGAAAATTCAAAGCCTTAATCAATTTTAAAAAATTAACCTAATTTGTTAATATAAAGATATAACAGTAGCATAGTTAAATAGAATAATTATAACTATGACTATTGAACTTTTTCATTGGAACGAAACTCTATCACTTATCAAATAATGAAGTCAACAAACTAAATCATTTTTTTAACGAGCAATACTATTTAAACTAAATTTATTGACTTAATTATTCTCTATCATTGTATTAATGGTAAGAGTTTGAATCTTTAGCTGTACAACAAAAATATTATTCCTCAAAACAACATAGTTCTATTTAATAAAATGATGTTGTTTTACTATGATATAATGTCTGTTATTGTTCCTTAACTAACAATAGAGGATTTGGATTTTTAACTATAGACCCTACTATTTATTAAAATTTATTATCAATTTAATAATTATAATGTATTAAATTAATAAATTAGATCTAAATATTTTTTATTTTTTGTCTTAATGTCATGTTTGTTCTCCTATGGTCTAGCTGTGTTAAGTGCTCTAACTTCCAAGCAATCATTTTGAAGTCCCCCGACTAGTTCCGTGGCTAATATTGCTTCACCCTCTCCATCAAAGGCGACATTTGAGACTACCCTAAAACCCTTCTCTCTCTCTCTCTCTCTCTCTCTCTCTCTCTCTCCCCCTTTGTCCCTTCATCATCTTCTTCTGCCACTACAACCTCAAAACTAAAACACCGAAATGTTGGCTTTAGCTAGCAGCAGCAGAGAAGACCAAGACCATGAAGATGAACACATCAGAGACATCCACGCTCTAAGCCCACCTCGCCCTCCATCCACCGGTGGCCGCCGGAGAGAAGCTTGGGAAACAAGCAGCCACAGATCATCATCTCTATCCATGGCCAGTACTGAAGGAGCTTCAAGTGAAAACTTCACCAGTATGAGCAGAGAGTTCAATGCCTTAGTCCTTGCAGGCTCCACCATAGGAAACAACAGCAACGACAATGATAATGGCGTGAACATCAATGTCAACAACTTGGGGAGGATTGGGGAGGAGGAAACCAACCCTTTGGCGATCGTCCCAGATAATAACCCGTTGGGTGATCCTGAGCCGTCGCCTAGAGGTGGCGGTGTGGTGGGTGGAAATCACGGCGAGGTTACGGTGCAGAGAGTGAAGAAAGAGGAGGTCGAGTCGAAGATAAATGCATGGCAGACGGCGAAGATATCGAAGATCAATAATAGATTTAAGCGAGAGGATGCGATAATCAATGGTTGGGAGAGTGAACAGGTTCAGAAGAGCACTTCATCGATGAAGAAAGTTGAGGTACGTGTGCAATCTTGCAGTTAGTGCCGATAGTCACGAGGTTGATTGAGTTTGAGTCGAGCTAAACAGATTGTTTTCTTAATCAAAACACATAGTCACGAGCTTAAACGGGTCTAGATCCGAATCAAAACACATATATACGGTTACACATAATTTGTATACAATACTAATTCGGTACCATATGATTTCTGAGAAATACAAAATTAATAAATAAGTTGAAAATTAAGATAATATTTTTTGACACATTTATTTCACCCGACACTGATGGCTTCTTCAATCATGCATGGTAACTTTTTAGTTTTCCTTCTTGTCGTGTTCTTGATTGTTACCATGACAATAATGATCAATTTAGGTGGTTTGGTAGTTGGATTTTTTTTTAATTTTCTATGATAATTTTAAACATGATTGGTCGTATAATATACTTTCTATTTTATGGTATAATTATAATAATTATTTTGAAAGTATGTGTTAAAAAGAATATTTTTAAAACAAAATTTTGTAAAACTCTTTTAATATAAAAAAACTTGGACACGTATTTATACAATCATTTTCTAGAAAATAATCACAATTTGAAAAATAAGTTGAAAAAACCGTATTATTGGAAAACAAGTAGGAAAAATAGTTTGATCATTTGATTTGTGGTGGTTGGGAATAGGGTAAGTGGGTGTTATTGTGGGGTCCCCTAAAGAAAATTTTAAAAAAATTATTTGGTATACCAGGATTCATTTTGAATTACCTATACCCTTTTATGTTTAGATTAAAATTTTGGTATAAGCCTATGGTTAGATTAAAAATTTAACCAAAGCATCTTCTTTTTTGTATGTATACAAAGAACGGTATTTTTTGTTGTACAGTATCTTCAAGAATGGGATACACATTTTCTAATTTATTAACAAAATGCCTTCTCTTTGTTTAGAGGAAGCTTGAGGAGAAAAGAGCAAGAGCTTTGGAGAAGATGCAGAATGAGGTAGCAAAAGCACACAGAAAAGCAGAGGAGAGGAGAGCCTCAGCTGAGGCCAAGAGAGGAACCAAGGTGGCTAGGGTTCTTGAATTAGCCAACTTGATGCGAGCCGTTGGACGGCCCCCTGCCAAACGCTCCTTCTTTTGAATTTCTATATATCATTGAGTAATGTTATTTGGACTTAAAAATCTGACTTAATTTACTAGCCTACTGATATAGTTTCATTAAAATCATTGGATCAATATCAAATTTCAATGTTTGATGAAACTCACAATCAATCCAAAGGTCATAGTAAATTAAGTCAGTAAATTAAATCCCAATAACATTACTCGTAGTTCATGATGCTCTATGTTTTTCAAGAGTTTGATAAGCAAAATGCACCATATTTAATATGGGTCCCTTCACTTTGGGAGTATGGGGTACCCTATATAGCATTGAAAAGTTGCCTGTGTTGAAGTATTTAAGTGTATGTAATTGAGTGCTTGTAACGTAATTGGTGTACCAGTAAAGTCGGCCCATTGTAATATATGTGTCATGGTATCAAATCCTGAAAAACAGTTTTTCTTCATACAAGAATAAGGTTTCAGACATCTGACCTGCTCAAGACAAAAAAATTTGAGTGCTTGCAGTTTTGTTCAGCAGCTTCTCTCTGCTTAGCACATCCTCAATATTTCTAGTAACAGATAACAATGACATCAAACAGAGCTAAGGGGTTCTCCTTTGCTTCTTCATTCTGCCTTGTGAATTTGTGGTTAGTCTTCTGATATACTGTTGGCAAAACAGAGTGGTGCTGAATCCCTTTTTCTAAGTGGGTTAGCTTCTTCAGAGGGTTTGCAATTGCAATTCTGTTGAACAATTTGTTGTAAGAGGCTTTGTATATTATATGTACTTCATAAGCATAAATTCTTCCAGCTTGGTGCATCTGCAACTGCAACTGCAACTGATGGAATGAATCCTAGACACAGAAAAGTATAAGAAAATTCTCATTGTCATTTTCCTAAATAATTGAATCATATTTCTTTACCAAATTAGTCATGTAAACATAGATAAGTTGTATGCAGTATGAATACCCAAAAGAACCCCTTTTGTTTAAGTTCAAGGGTTGGTGTGAGAAACCTTTGATTTCTCTGGTTTTCAACGAAGTCTGATTCTCCATCTTTTCTAGTCTCCAGCTTGTAAAATTATTACGAGTACTTATTCACTCTGATGCTTCTGTCCATCCTGGATTCATTGAGTGAATTAGAAAAGGGTGGTGCAACGCAGCACACGATACCCTACTACTGCTGGGTCTTGGGGAGGGTAAGATATATGCAGGTTTACCCCACGAGCAAGCTGACTGTTTCCACAACTCAATCCCTCGACACCTAAGTTACAATAGAACAACTTTACCGATACATCAAAGCCCGCCATCAGACGAGAACAAGAGCCAAATTTAAACCCATCATTAGCAGAACATCCATCTATTTCTGCTTTCCAAACACTGCTTGCTCATGGCCTCTTAGAAGGACCTGTGCTTGGAAACTTGGTTTCCGAGCCATTCAACTGATTCTACCTACTCAGAATAAAATTAAATAACTGAATATTCTTGATGCAGCAAAAATACTGCAAACTATGAAAGCAGTATTGTTTATGTTTCCAAACAAACATAACACTAGAGAATTCCAGACTAACTTTTGTAGTTCTGATTTCAATGACCAACCATAATTGAAGACAACTAATTTTGGAAAATGAAAGATTCATGATAAAGTGTCAAGTTGTGACTAAAGAAAGGACCCCCATAATTTAATAGTTAATACAAAACATATCAAAAGTGGGAAGTAAGGGGATATTAGTGGGGTTATGAATGCATGCCTTTTGCCTCCCCCTGCCCCGGATTGAAAAGATGGGTAGTTTTTTTTTCAAATTATCATATCGCCTCCAACACAATTGCTCAATTCCGCTTAATGGAGATCACTATACAGGGAAATTGAGAGAAAGTGCATTGGAGAGGGTCCAAATTCATTAACTTATATGTTGGGCATAAACAAAATAAGGATAATTATCAATGAAAACCCTTGCAGATTGGCATGTAATGGCCTAAAAAATTTAGGTTCAAATCTCCACTCCCCATGTTGTTTGTGGACTACTAGAATAATGCATAATATATGAGTGCTGCCAGATCCAGAATCATATGATAACAGCAAAGCAATCTCAACCCAAATATCTTTAGCACTAGAGTCTTTTAGGAATGCAGGTCACTGCATTCTATACATGTCTCACCCTCTACCCACCAAATAAAAAAAAAAAGAGAAAGGAAAGAACAACTTAGACAAGATAAGAAAAGAAACACCACCACCAAAAATGCCAACCAACATGGAAACCAATTAGGTGGTATTGGTCAGTACGCATTAAAGTATGAGGTTAAGTTGCATCAAATTGCTGATTCTACGCTTTCACAATCATCAAGTAATTATTATTTTGTAGATAAACATTTCCATACTTAGTGATACTACTTTATAGAATTCCGCAGACATGATTTCAAGCTTGTTTTCTGGCACGACATGGTGAAATACTTCCCAATGCCATTTTGCTAGGCTCGTGATTTTTATTCTGAATAGGGGTGGGTGTGTGCTTGTGAGAGAGAGAGAGAGAGAGAGCGGTGTTCACGAGTATTAAGCTGCATACTCTTGACTTTTACCTTAGATTTCAGATCGGATATTGGCTAAAGGTAAACATCATACCATGTGCACAAGACTCTTGCTTTTAGTCGGGTTGGAGAGAGATACGAGTTTAAGGGATGCTAAATACATGACTATATCATAGTTATTGCCTTAAACTGTTTTTAAGACTTTGCTATGAAGTATTTACAGGCAGCAGCACTATCCTAACTCCTCAGTATGCAAGGTGCATGGTACCCTCTGGTGTGCGAGACTTGCAAGTTATCCACAGGAGAACTTGCATGGTTGTACCATAATTTTCGAACTTATGTCTAGCATATGCACCTTGACACTGGACCAAGAAGAAAAAAATTTCTTGTTAAACAGAACCTAGGATCTAAAAGCCTGGCTCAATGGGAAAATCATAATCAATGGCAAACAGAGAGAAAATGAGAAAGAATGGTAGCACGACAAAAGGAAGCCAAAGGGTGGAAGAAGCAAAAGAATATTATGCCTTGTAGAATAATATCAACGAGGAATTTAAATGCTTTCATTTACTGGGCAAAATGTTTTAAATTACATAACAGCATAATCAATCAAGAAAAACCAGTGGTTAGGTACCTTTCAGTCCTTGAATCAACTTTAAGTTATCAAACAATTACACCCCTATGCCCCAGATAAATTTCAAACTAAACAGGGTTACTTCATGATTTGTTTGATTTCGAAACTAAGGATAACATAATTGGATAGTGTGTGAATTCTCTTAGGTGAACAAATTCATACCATTAGTTTTCGGAGCTTTGAATGCACAGATCAACATTCTGAGATACTGGTATGCGCACTTGAAATCAGAACCAATAGACTTCCTCAGATCATAAACCAGAGTATTTGATCAATCGGGATCACCTTGCCTGATGATAAGAAAGTATGGTTAGAAATACATGCATGTGGGGGTAAAGAGCTCTTATTCTGTATTGAAGCGAAGTGACATCATTATTTTTCAATCAGCATAATCATCAAGAAAATATTGGCACTCAACCAATATGATGAAAGGTAATAATGAAGGCAATATTTACCATGTACTTTCTCTAATTCCTGTATCTCGCATTCTAAGCATCGGTGGAATAAATGAATCAAGCTATGTAAATCTTCGTTCAAAAACTATAAGCTAGTTCTAATTTTCCAACACTTAAAAGCGTTGCGTTGCTGGAAGGATATGACCATACTGACAAAGATTACTCACACCCAGCTTTTCCTTCAGTCTTCAGTCTTTATCTGTCCATGTTGACACCAATCTTCCACTTGTTGAATCATCAAAGCAAATAATTAAGTTGGAGATGCATTTATAGCAGGTGCAAAATATGGAAAAACTGGTCTAACAAGGAACAGAGCTATATGTGCTGCCACTCCGACAACAAAACAAAAAAAATTCTTTTTCACTTGATGAACTTGTGATCGATTCCAATTAAGTCAAAGATTGGTTATATCACCACTAATTTGTTTCATCTCAGCTGTTAATATATCCAATATCGCATAAACATCTCTACTTTTCTTCTTCTCTTTGCTACCAGCCCAAAACTGATGGGTCATCTTATCGATCTCAATCCAGCTGCAACCAGCTTCTTTACTCATCTTTAAGTCAGTCATTGCGGTTCTTACCCTTGCTGCCTCGTCTAACATCCCCCCTTCAGCAAACATATTTGAAACAAGAATGTAAGAGCCAGCTTCTTTGGGTGTCAGCTCGAGCAATTGTTGTGTAGCTATCTTGCCAAAATGCATATTTCCATGTAGCTTACATGCATGGACCAAAGTTCTCCAAAGGAGAGGCGAGTCTGAAAACCGGCTTTTGGAAATGAAATCTATTGCTTCTACAAATTTCCCAGCTCGGCCTAAAATATCAACCATGCAAGCAAAGTGCTCAAGTACCGGCTTAACCCCATATTTTAGCTCCATTTCCCCAAACAAGCAAAACCCATAGTCCCATAAACCTGAGTAGTTACAACCTTGAAGAACAGCCAATATAGTGATCTCATCAGGAACAAAACCTTCTTTCATCATCTCTTCAAAGACCAAAAGTGCTTCCTCACCTTGCCCGTGAAGGGCAAATGCAGAAACCATGGCATTCCAAGATATTTTGTCCTGGTCATTCATTCCAAAAAAAGTATGATAAGCATCTTCAATGCTTCCACATTTTGCATACATGGTAATTACCGCATTACTTACAGTAAAATCAGCTTCGAACCCTGTCTTGACAATGTAAGCATGAAGACTTTTCCCTTTAACTAAACAAGCCTGATCAGCAGTTAAACTAAGGAGCTGTGCAAAAGTTACCGAATCTGGTTTTATACCAGTTAATCTAAGATGACCTAAAACAGTCATGTAATCTTCGTCATCAGCTTCATCTACCTTTGTAAACCCAACTAAAGTGGCATTGAACATTGCAGTACTTTTAATGGAGATATCATCAAAGAGTAATTTTGCACACTTCTGGTTCCCACATTTTGCATATAAATCAATTAATGCAGTCCCTACTTTAATATGAGAAAGAAAACCAAGCTTTAACACAAACCCATGGAATTGAAGTCCTAGGTCCAAGTTGTTGCACTCTGAGCAACCATCAAGGACAGTAGCTAAACAGGTACAATCAATATAAATTCCTAAGTCAACCATTTTTACAAACCTTTTAAGGGCTAATTCTCCATGACCATTTTTCACATACCCAGATAGAAGAGCAGTCCAAGAAACCAAATTCCTTTCATTCAGTCGGTGAAACATACTCTCAGCCTCTTCTATTAGCCCATGCTTTCCATACATTGTCACAATTGCATTTCCTACAGAGGTTTCACCCACTAAATCATGCTTAATGGAAAGTCCATGTAATTGCCTGCCTATTGCTACACCTACAGCTCCATCGCAAGCACTTATTACATTCGTAAATGTATAATCAGTTGGCTCCAAACCAAAAGATAGCAAATCAATAAAGACCCAAATCGCTTTCTCCAGGTATCCCACCTTCCCATATTCTGAAATCAAAAAATTCAAACACCTAACATCCTTATAACTCCATTCACTATACACTTTTTCCGCATCCTCCAAAAACCCACTTCTTGAATACATGGAAATCAAAGAAGTACCAACCACAACATCCTCACAAAACCCACTCTTCACAACAAAACCATGAATCTGCTGCCCTTTAATCCGATCATCTGGTGACTCACATGCCCTTAAAATTACTGAGCACGTATGTTCATTGAACTCTTCTTCCAATCTATACATATCATTAGCAATCTTAAACACCGACTCAACATCATTAACCCGTGAATACCCATTAATCAGAGATGTCCATGTGATTGTATTCCTATAGCGCATTTCATCAAACACCCTTTGTGCATCATTCACTCTATTAAAGTTTGCATACAAATTTATGAGGTTATTGCCCTGAAAGCTGTTATTTTCATAACCCAATTTCATTAAAAAGCCATGAATTGACTGACCCAGATAAAGATTACCAGAGCCAATTGAGAACTTGAGGTGCTGAGGCCAGTCATTCAAGATAAGGGGTTGGTCACAAGTTAACACCTTGGAACTGACTGACAATTGGGTTGTACTGAAATTTGGATGTTGTATCTCTTGTAACAACTTGCATGATGACGAGGTTAAAGTGTTATTGAGTGGGTTTATTTTCAATGAAGGAAATGTTTGTTGGGGTTTTGAAGGACAAGGAACTACGGTTGTGGGAAAGAGTGAAGACATGGAATTCTACCGAATGTTGCGAAGATTGCGGATAGGACTCTAATAGGAAGGACTTGTCTAAGGTACCATTCGTCCATCTATAATAATCTATAGGTTAATTGCAAATTAGATCATGAAATATCGTTTTAATCCTAATTTGTATTTTTAAAGACCAAAAATTTTAATTTATACTTTCAAAGATAAAAATTTGTATCAATGTACACCGAAAATTACCATCCATCAATTTACCGTCTAAAATTAAATAGATAAATTACACCTAAATTCCTTTATACTTGTCACTTAATTATTTGAACCCCTCACATTTTAAATATTATCCCTACACCTTATGACTTTGTACGCGTGTAACACATAATCCTTTATCGTTGATATCTGTTAATATAACCATTAAAAAATATGATTTCATCATAATAAAAAATTATAATATCATACTACTTTTTATTTTGTGGGTCTCTTATACTGTAAAATTTAAAATCAAGCTTATCATTTGAATGTTCAATATAATGTGGGTATTTATACAATGTTCTTTATATTTAACGCAATATGTCACTTAAACACAATTATTTGAATGCTCAATTGAGAGAATATTTTTATTTATATTTGGATTCTAAAGAGATGTACGTATAATATTTCAAATGTGGGGGATTTAGGTGATTAAGTGACAAGTATAAAGGGATCTAGGTGTAATTTATCCATTTAAGTTTTAATGCACATTAATATAAATTTCTATCTTTGAGAGTTCAAATTAAGATTTTTGATATTTCAGAGTACAAACTGAGATTCAAACAATCTTTTGAACTGCAATTTGAGATTAACCCTAATCTATAATATAAAACAGAGGATTCAATAAGGTCATTCGATGATCTCAAATAGATTCATCTAACAGTCACCAACATCCCTCTCAAAACTATTCAAATTAAATTTTTCTCTCCAATCCATCATTTCTCACTTACATTGTACCGTACCTTTAAGCACGAGTTACCCCTAGTTTACAATATTTATGGATAATATTTTTATCACCGTTGTCATAGTGAAAAAAGTGGTAAAAATAATTATCAGTTATAAATAAATAAATAAATATAGTAAATCATTCACAAAAATGATATTTTTTCACCCAAAAAATGATAAAAATAATTATCATAATAGTGATAAAAAAATACCCATGAATATGATAAATCACTTAGTAGTTACCACAACAGTGGTAAAAAACTCACAAAAATGGTAAATTATCAATAAAAGTGATAAATTTTTTTATTATAAAATAACTTACAAAAATTATAAAAATACTCATTAAAATAAAAAAAATTAAAGGTATAGTACCGAATTTTTTTTGTTAGTACGATAGTCAAGTCCTGTAATAATGGTCCTTAGTTGGCACATATCCTAGGTAGCTACTCTCAATTTGCATCTTTAAGAGACTAGATAAATGACATAAAATTTTTAAAATTTAGCTATTTTGTCCTAAAATTTTACTCCAACAGAATAACTCTAAAATATATAAAATAACATTTTGTTACAGTGATACTCTATATTTAGATTGTTATGTATAAATATTTTATAATATTTTTTCTCTTCTCTTTTCCTTTCTTTCATTCTCTCTTTTTCTCTCACACTATTCCAAAAAAAAAATAACAAAAAGAATTAGAAATAATATTTAAATTAAGTAGTTAAAAATACAAAAAATATGTTTGAGCGTGTTAAAAAAGTGAGTTGTTAAAATAAAAAATATTATTTTTTGAGTAGCTGAACAAACTCTTACATTATCATAATTCTAATATTGAGTAAATTACACCTACGGCCCCTAAACTATAATTTTTGTGTCAATTTTGCCCCTACACTCAATTTTGTATCAATTAAGCCCTCCAACTACCCGATTTGCAGTAATTTTGCGCTATATTACATTATTTCTATTGTTTCATTTATTTATGTTACGAACCTCGTTGATCATATGGTTACATCATTTTGTTGTATTTTGCCCTCTAAATTTTATATCTCACTTATTCTTTCTCTCACTTTGTACAATTTATGTTCACTCTAAAGTATAAAATTAATGTATACAAAAATTTTATATTTCGTTTGGTACGATGATAAAATAGAATGATAGAAAGTTGAAGAAATAAATAAAATATTAAAAAATATATAAAGGATGAAAAAATAAATAGATTAGCTTTTTTTTCAACTCACCAAAATCAATCCACTACAACAATTAAGATTTTTTGTGACAAATTTTTTTGTCACTATAAATGTGTATTTCGTCACTGAAGAGTTTTAGTGATGATATTTCTATCGTCACTAGGTGGTCACTAGAAACTTGTCAGTAATTGTCTATAGTGACAATCTAGAATAATCGTCATTAATTCTATACTTTGCAGTGATAACACTCTCTCATCACTAAAAAAAATAAATTTAATGACAAATAAAATAGTCACAAAAGATCTAAAAAATGTGTCATTAAAAGAGTAATAATGTCACTGAAAGTACAAATGTAGTGATGAAGATATTTTGTCACTGTAAGTTATGTTCTAGTGACAATATATTGTCGTCATTAGAAGTCTATTTCAAGGGACAAATTTTAAATTCATCACCAACTCTGGGTCTTTAATGTCAAATTGAGCTTGTTACAAAATATAGAGCCGTTAATTGTATGATTGTCAATGACGAAAAAAAGTTTGTCAGTAGAAGTTGAGATTGGAGACAAATTCTCATTTCGTCACTCAAACTCTTTCAATATATATATTGACTCTTGAAATAATCTGATAAGAGTCGTGTAACAAAATCAACAATGTATTATCTAGTCATTCACATCCAAATGATATATGACAATTAATATAATAACCCAAAACCAAAGAACTTAAATTAATTTTTCTCAAATAAAAATATCATCCAAGTAAATACAAAATAAGTGTATGAAACAAGTGTTTTCCTACTGAATAAAAGACATAAGTATAAAAAAGAAAGAAATAAAAATGACACAAGTGTGGTTCTGTCCATTATAAACAACTCGCACCACCAGCCATTAATCTGCACATAAGAACAAAATAAAATGATGTTAGTATGTTTTCAACATCCATAAACAATTGAAGATAAGTGTAACTTTTGTAAAACACACCTCATAAACGAGGTTTATTTTGTATAGATGACATAAAAGCAAAGAAAAAGTCCCAAGAAAAAAAATATTGCAATTTTCCCATAGCTAATGAATTTTACTCGATTTTCACAATAAAAGTCTCAACAGATAAATTGAGGAACCATTTTGTATAATATAAGTTTTAACACACAAAATTTACCCTCTATAACAATGACAATTCTCTAATATGCAAGAAAGCAAATGCGTAATATATATAGCTTACCATGATGTAGGAGGGCTAGCCAGATGCCCCTGCAGAAGACATATAGGCCTGAAACATATTTTCAAATTGAGTCTGTCGAATCCTCATTTCTTCAATTCGAGTCTGTTGGGACTCTATCATTTGATTCTGTGATTGTATCTTTTGATTTTGAACCTCTACTTGCTCAAGCAGCTCATGCTGAACTCTTTCGGCCTCGTCTGCCCTCCTTATAGCCTTTTGTGTATCCAAAATAGCTCTTTGACTTGATTTGGCAGATGTGTGGGGCTTTGGGCCATGCCCGAGACCACATATATACCCCGACCTTGTTCCAAGCACAAGGTCGCATATCTGATCTGGATTTAACATGGTGCCACCCTCTAATATAGGTTGGGATTGCAACTCCAACATCTGATTCTGCGATTTTAAATGTTTAGTGCAACAACTCAAAAATTTGTATAAAATCTAAAAATTGAAGTGTAATATACTACTCAATCTTACATATTTCAGCTTCATCGCATGACCACCATTTCACTGGATTATAATGAGTGTCTTTGTAGAACGAAATTCGATCAGGCTCCTCATTAGTCTCTTCATTTCGCTGTATGATTTACAATTAGAATTAAAGAACATAAAGTTAACAATCATATTGTACTAAGTAAACTTAAAATCATACAATATTATATACCATTTCATATCGAGCCGCCACAAATGACTTTGTACCCATGAAGTGGGTAACTTGCAACTTGGCTCGGTTTGCCTTGTTGACTTCACATCATTTCTGCATTGAAACATTAGGCATGTTAATGGGTTAGATAACTTTTTTATATTAAAATATTGCACATTGTAATTTCACCTGATAATCAACATCAGAGAATATGTTGCACAGATAATTCCAATCCTCCTCTTGTACTCCATCATATGGGTGCTCTCTTGCAATGTCAACATTGTCAAATTTTTTAAAATGATTGCGAAGATGATATCGATAAGTCCTATATTGACATTTCATTAGTTGCTCACAACAATCCTTTATATGTTCCTACGTCATGTCTATGTTGAATTTTGCTTAAAAATCAAAGTTACAAAAATAAACATTTGTTGTGGATAAAATCAAATTAAAAAAAAAAAAAAAAACCTTGACTAGATTGTCACTTACTAAGATGCGGTCATAAAGGGAAACCTTATCCTCTTCATTTATGTCCTTCCATTCTTTCACCCGGAGAGGAGCATATTGGCGAACAATAAGGCCCAACTCATTTGTAAAGGTTGCTGCTCCTAGCCCAACTAGTTTTTTCTTCTGCTTAGGAATGTTGATTCGCAGCCTACCAGTGACACGAATGATCTTTTCCAAACCAAGACCTTTTGTCTTACCTCGACCTTTTTTGACAGTGGTGGAAGCTATATAAAACACATTACACTATTAGTAAAATAATATAAATAAAATTATAGAATAATAAAAATTATGATCTAACCGCTACTTCTCAAGGGTGTTTGGGGAATAGAAGGATCTGATAGAGTAGGAGCAGATATTGGTAATTCATTGCTCAATCGGTGTGCTCTACTTCCTAGTGTCATTCTGAATTAAACCATCCAGTCACCACAACAATTAATTTGTTTTAAACAATGAATCCACGTATTAAAAAACATTGCATGCATTTATTGAAAATTAGACACCAA